CCCCGTTTGCTCCTCTCCTTGAAAAGCAAAAGAAAAACTCCCTCATTGGTACACAATACCCCCCGCACCTCCCCAATCCCCACTCCCTACCCCCAAATATAATCCACTCTGCGACCCTCATTGCATACTCCTATGATAAAAATAATGCCCTAGCTGTAATACTTTTTACAAATTCCAATGCTCTTCAGCAGTATTGCAGGATAGGTTCAGTCACCAACCTTTCTATTAGGAGCTCAGCCATTGTTTGAGCCACCCCAGAACTTCTATTAATTGATTCAGTGATTGCTGACTGAGATTCAGATCAGTCTTCCTTCTGAAAACAACAGAAAAAACAAAACATTGAGCTATTCTAGTTTCTTTTTGTTTAGGGATTTGGGGTGTTTTGTTTCCATTGTGACTTAAAACAGTGGAGCACTATCCAGACAATAAGGTACTGGGAAAGAATTTAGTTAGGTAAGGATTTGGGGTTCAAGCAAGAAAGACATTTTCCAGGGACACTGAGAACATTGTTTTTTCATCATCAATCATGGTGCTGCCAATCGGCCCAGTGGTGAGAATTGTTTTATTGATGTTGAGCTTCAGTCTTATGGCTGCAGTCCTTGAGCTTCAGCAGGGAATGCCACGGGTACTCTTCAGTTTCCACAAGCAGAATTGTGTCATCTGCATAACAGAGGCTGTTCCTGAGTCTTCCTCCAAACCTGATGCCACATTCTCCTTCATAGAGCCCAGCTTCCTAGATGATCTGTTCTGCATTTGGTCAACAACTTGGCCAAGATTCATGAGAGATTTTAGCAATTACATTCATTTTCAAAGTTACTGACTAATTTATTGTCAGGTGTCACAAGATTCACTTCCCAGCTCTGTGATATAGCAATTAATGGAAAATCTGTATCCTGGTTCATGTACTTAGGCATCTCCCTAAGACTGTGTCAAAACATGCAGAAATTGCATTCCGTAAACAGAAAAAAAGAACAGTGAATGGTACCATAAATGTCAAGTGGATTCACTTTTTAATTCAAAATTCATCCCTGGCATATAACTTTCCTGATTTTGAACCATGCAGTGTTTCCTTGCTCTGTTCTGATGACTGCCTCCTGGCCCAAGGATAGGTTTCACAGAAGCACAATGAAGTGTTCTAGAATTCTTATTTTCCTCAAATTTAGCTACAGTTTTTTGTGATCTACATAATCAAATGCCTTTGCATCATCAATAAAACATGGATAGACGTTCTTCTGGTGTTATATGCTATTTGAATTATAGGGAGAGGATATAGATTGGGAAGCAGAAAACGATTGGTGAGAAATTTTCAAAACTCTGAAATTATCAAGAAATTAATTTAAGAAGCTTTGAAGATAATAATCCACTATTGGATTGTTTGCTTATTTCTTGAAAAATTCAATTAGTATTAAACAAAACAAAGTAAGTGCCAACACAAACAATAGTACACAAAAGCTTAAGGTGGCTTTAATGATAATCACCTCAAGCTAGAAACACCTAAATGCCTTCACCTGTTTCATTGCACAGTTAGGTATCTGTTACTCTACAAAAAATTAGAATTTTATAGGCTAAAAATAATGATTTATTACCTATAAATTGCTAATGTCATTCATAATTCAACAGTCAAAGTTGTGGACTTTGATATGGCTTTAGTTTTGGTCAACAACTTGGTCAAGTCTCATGAGAGATTTTAGCAATTACATTCATCTTCAAAGTTACTGACTAATTTATTGGCAGGTGTCAGAAGATTCACTTCCCAGCTCCGTGATATAGCGATTAATGGAAAATCTTTATCCTGGTTCATTTCTTAGGCGTCTCCTCAAGACTGGGTCAAAACATGCAGAAATTGCATTCCTTAAACAGAAAAAAAGGACAGTGAATGGTACTATAAATATTAAGTGGATTCACTTTATAATTCAAGACCATTTTACAATGAAAACTTCAGGTTCATGTAGTTTCTTAAGTAAATCCTCCAAAATCAGAAAGACTAATGTAAATCACAAGTGGACACTCCCAGAAAATAGGGAAAGAAGAAAGAAAAGAAATGAAAATTTTCCTAGCTTGTTTACCTAGATACAAAATGCTAAAAAAT